ACCAGAAATTTAACAGTGCACCATCACTTCTTTCCTGTTGCTGATACATGGTTCAAAGTACTGATACACTCAATACATAAAAATTGCATACTGTGTGTTTCAAACGAACAACATACTTGGACCAAAAAATAATTAGGGTTCAAGAAATGAATAGGACATCTCTAGGAATGGCATTATCAATATTTTGAACCTAGTACAGATGTAACCAGCTGCCAGATCTACAATGTTTCATATCAGAACCAGTTATTAAAGCAGATATGGACCCAACCTAACCCAGTTCTTACTTGTATCAAGCCTGCCCCCCAAAGGCCAAGGAGGATTCCATTTAGGCCAAAAAAATTAACTCCCTACACAGATGGAATATCATTTTTTTACAAAAATTGTAAAAATTTCTCTTTTATTGTGAATAAAAATAAAAATAACAATATTGTACTGGATTTCTGCATACAAAAGTTTCAATATTAGAAATTCCTTTACGTTTGGATTGATGTTAATTGGAAAAGGAGAGATAATTGGCTTTGAAAAAGTTTTAAAAGAAGATTATGGTATGGTATTAAGATCTTCTATAGAATTTTTTTTTTTTATCAGCAACGAGAAACTTTATTAATGATATGAAACTATGTGAAACTTTAGGTACAAAGGGGGGAGGTAAAATGTCTTAACTCCCCCACCAATAAAATACATTGGAAGAAAGTCAAAAGTTAGCCCAAAATATAGATTCCCTATTCACCCCCTGCTTGGCTAACCCATCAGCAAATGAGTTAGCAGTCCTCTTCACCCAGCTGTAGTGCAACACAATATCCCTACTCAGCCATTTGAATTTTTTCTTCTCATTATTATAACTCCACAACCCGCTGTTTTCTTACTTTAGCCACCTAATCACCACCTCCGAGTCACCTTCAAGGACCAAACATCTGATGTTCAAATCTCTTGCTCTTTGGATACCTTCCAGGGCTGCAGAAATCTCCAATTGGGCCTGAGAACATGAGAGTGATAACCCCATCCTCATTCCTGAACACTCCCCCAGGATTCCTTAAACAACTACCATCAAAAGTCAGTCTTACATAGGGCAAAGGAAGCTATCTCTTTCCAATTTCTTACCAAATCAGCCACAGAATACCCGGAGAACAGCTCCATAGTTTTCAGCCAGTGGGCTACCCTTACAAGTATTAGATCTAACAAGTTTTCCAGGGTTCTTTCCTTGTCTGAAAATATTCGTGAGTTTCTGTCTTCCCATAGGACCAACACACTGCTGCCCTAATGCTTATCCACATAATCTTCCCTCTCTTCTTCGGCCATCTGAAAAATGAAGAAGAGAACAAGCTTTGGACACTCCCAGGGGGAGTCCAAATACACCCAAAGAGGGAGAAAACCCACTCCCGTACTGTTTTAGCGACCGAGCAAGTGACCATAAGGTGATAACCAGTTTCCCCATCAGCTTTACAAAGAGAACACCTATTAGGAAGTAAACAAGAATCGGGTCTCTTTTTCTGAAGTAGGTCAATTGTGTTAATTCTTTCTAAGAAAGTTTCCCAACAAAAACTACCAACCCGAGGAGGAATGGGCTTGCTCCAAATTTCTTTAACTGGGAAGGACAACCCAATAGGATCAGAAGGCCGAGTTAAGATCTTCTATAGGATACCCCTACCCAAATCCATGTATCTTGTGTCCTATAAAAATCTACATTTCTTGCAGAAATCTGCAACCTTGTGCATGCAATATAGCCTCTTGCTCCTTAATAGTTTACTTGGTTACCTAATGTTAATTGATTTTCATGCTAGTATATTCCATAGGCATTTGTTTCTCCATGTAATCTCTCACATGATGTTATGTGTGTGTGTCAAACATCAGTTAGTAGATGGTCCAAGTCTAAGAAATGCTCCCAGCCTGTGAACCAACTAGAAGACCAAAATATTCTTCAGTAACCTATTCATTAGCCTTTTTGAACTATATATATATATATAGATGACACAGACCTCTTTTGTCCCTAATCATTCCTATTGCAACAAGCTTCTACAGGTTGGAATCACCTAAAGCATTCTAACAAGAGTATGCAAGAAAGTCCACATTATTTATATCCAAGAATAACTTAGGAATAGAGAAGGGTCCAAACTTCAAAAGCTTCACTTCTACAAGTTAGAATCACCTAAAGCATTCTAAAAAGAGTACACAAGAAAGTCCACATTATTTCCATCCAAGAATGACCTAGGAATAAAGCAAGATTTGCATTTTTACCAGAATTTAATTTATGTTAGTTAAAGTACTTGAGATTCGAGAATAAGAAGAGGAGGAGGAGAAGAAGAAGAAGAAGAAGAAGAGAGGAAGAAGAGGAGTTTGTCGAAGAAAACTGATGTATTACTGTTCACTCCTGAAGAGCCTTCTTAACATTTTTAAGAAAATTACAAATGGGCCCTTGAATAGGCACCCAAATACAAAAAAGGACGAAAGGACATAAATGTYGTTACATTCTCAACACTCCCCCTCAAGCTGAGCATAGATATTTGTCATGCCCAACTTGTCCAAATTGTTGTCAAGCTTTGATTTTGAGATACCTTTAGTAAGACAATCGGCCAATTGATCTTCAGACCTCACAAAAGGTAAACAAATCTCTCCACTAGCAACTCTTTCTCTAATGAAATGTCGATCGACTTCTATATGCTTTGTATGGTCATGTTGAACAGGATTGTGGGCTATGTTTATGGCTGCTTGATTATCACAATATAATATCATTGGAGTATCAATCTGCACTCCCATTTCTGTCAACAAGTTCTTCAACCATAACAATTTGAAAACTCCATGAGCCATAGCTCTGTACTCTGCCTCTGCACTAGATCAAGCCACAACTGATTGTTTCTTATTTCTCCAAGATACAACATTACCACCCACCAAGGTACAATAGCTAGAAGTAGACCGCCTATCATCAATAGAACCTACCYAGTCAACATCAGAATAAGCCTCTACCTTGAGATGCCCATGATTAGAATACAACATCCCTTTTCTTGGACATCCTTTTAAATAGGCTAGTATTCTATTCACTGCTTGCATATGAGATGATCTAGGCTTGTGCATATATTGGCTAACTACACTCACAGCATATGATATATCTGGGCTAGTCAAACACAAGTAGAGAAGGCGACCGACAAGTCTTTGATACACAACTTTGTCAGGAAGGACATCTCCATCATCAACTCCCAATTTATGATTGGGATCAATTGGAATTTCAACTGTTTACAATCCAATTTCCCTATTTCCTGAAGCAAATCAAGGACATATTTCCTTTGAGAAATATAAATGCCCCTCTTTGACCTTGCGACCTCAATCCCTAGAAAACACCGAAGATTTCCAAGATCTTTAATTTCAAATTCAATAGCAAGAAAAGACTTTAGTTCAGCAATTCCAGAGATATCATCCCTTGTAATAACAATGTCATCAACATATACTATCAACATAGTCACTTTTCCATTCGCTCTCCTGATAAACAAGGTATGGTCAGCTTGAGATTGAGAAAAACCAATTTTTAAGATAGCTTTTCTGAATCTGTCAAACCAAGCTCTAGGGGACCGTTTAAGGCCATAAAGGGATTTCTTCAAACGACAAACCTTTCCTTCACTCCCAGGGATGTTCACTCCAGGAGGAAGTTCCATGTAAACTTCTTCCTGAGGGTCGCCATTAAGGAATGCATTCTTAACATCCATTTGATACAAGGGCCAAGAATAATGGACAGCAAGAGATATTATAGCTCGAATTGAGTTCATCTTGGCTGCTGGAGCAAAGGTTTCCTAATAATCAATGCCGTAAGATTGAGTGTAGCCTTTTGGCACAAGTCAAGCTTTATACCTTTCAACTGAGCCATCAGCTTTATGCTTCACTGTGTAAACCCACTTGCAGCCAACAGGAACTTTGCCCACTGGAAGAGAAACAATTTCTCATGTCTAATTTTTCTCAAGCGCCTCCATTTCCTGGTTCATAGCATCCTTCCAATGAGGGAACTGCATTGCCTCAGTAACATTGTAAGGGATAAAAACAGAAGCAATGGAAGAGATATAGGCACAATAAGAGGGAGACAAGGTATTATAACAGACATAATTTGAGATAGGATATTTAGCACATATCCTTTTTGCTTTACAAACCGCAATAGGAAGGTTAAGGTTAGAAACCATAGGCTCAGTAACAAGTTCACCGCAAGTATCAGAAACAAGAAGAGGTTCAAAATCCAGATTACCTGAGTCCGGGAAGTTAGATTGTAATGGACATTCAATCTCTGGAGTCATCCTCTTTTTTCGTCTAACGAACCACTGGTGCCAAGACCGAGGAAGAGGAGGAGGCACAGGAGGAGTATTACTACCACCACAAGGAGGAAGAGGAGAAGGAGAATGATCGACTATACCAGTTACAGCTAGAGCAAGAATCAGCGTACAGAAAGGAGTCCGATCTTCACTAGCATTCTCCCCCTAAAGAGAAGGACAAGAAAAGGAAAAGAAGGGAGTAAACTCAAAGAATGTAACATCTTTGGACACATACCGTTTTCCAGAGTGAGGGTCATAACAACGGTACCCTTTTTGGACTGAAGAATATCCCAAGAAGAAACACTTAATAGACTTTGGATCAAATTTCAACCTAGAAGGACTCATGTCATGGACCTTAGGAGGAAGATGGAAGGTATCCTCATCGAGAAAAAGGAGCTGATGAGGAGACTGGAGATGAAGGGTCCACGAAGGAAGTCTGTTAATAAGATATACAGCTGTTTGTACAGCATCCCCCCAAAACCGAGTTGGGACATGCGTTTGGAATAACAATCCCCTTGCAACTTCAATTACATGTCTGTTTTTCCTCTCTGATACCCCATTTTGTTGGGGGGTATGAGGACATGAACTTTGGTGAATTGCTCCTCTCTCTTCAAGGAAAGTTTGTAAATGCTTCTCAAAGTATTCCTTGGCATTGTCAGATCTAATAATCTTAATCTTCTTTTCAAATTGTGTTTCCACCATATTAAAAAAGCCTTTTATAATTGATCAAAAGAAGGAACTTCATCTCGGCTCTTCATCAAATATAGCCAGGTATATCGTGAGTAGTCATCAACAAAGAGAATAAAATATTTATAACCACCCATACATGGAATAGAATAAGGTCCCCAAACATCAGTATGTATTAAATGGAAAGCAACATTACTTCTTTTGTTACTTGCAAAATATGTGGTTCTACATTGCTTTGATAGTTGACAGACTTCACATTGTAAACCAGAACTAGACAAGGACTCAAATAGACTAGGAAACAAAAACTTCAATGAACCAAAAGACATGCCCAAGACGGTGATGCCACAATTTCAATTGACTTAGTTTTTCATCATGATAGGACTCAGACTGACACATTAACCCAAACTTTGGACACTGATCAAGAAGATAAACTCCATCGGCTTCATGTCCATTGCCAATCGTCTTCCCCGTACTCAGATCCTGGAAGACACAATAAGATGGAAATAATGTTACAGAACAATTATGAGACTTTGTAAGAGAGCTAACAGATAAGAGATTTCTATGTAGTTGTGGGACATGGAGAAATGATTTCAGAGAAAGGTTGTTGGTAAGTTTAACTTCACCAAAACCCGAAAAAAAATTTATACATGGTAAAGTAGGAAGGCATACCAATCATATGATCACTGGCTCCTGTGTCAATTATCTAAGAGCCAAAGGATGAAGCATGACACGCAAGTGCAGTACCTGATTTTGCAAAGGCACTGGAAGGTGTATGTGAGCCAACAGATGTAGGCAACCCACTCTTTTCAAGATGGAGCAAGATGCCTCTCACTTTTTCCATCACATCAGAGGTGTCATGAGTAGATGCCTGAGCAGAAGAACTTCCCTCAAGCATGTGAGTCTGAGAATCATGACTAACTATAGCAACATGAGCATTTACCTTCTTTCCAGATTTAAACTTCTCAGGCTTTAGGTGGGGGTTTAGTTTCCAACACCTATCCTTGGTGTGCCTTGGCTTCTTGCAAAATTCACAAACTACATCTTCAGGTTTACCAGAACTCTGTTTGGGTTTTATAGACATAAGAGTTGTGTTCTCACTAACAGGAACTTGCATCATGGCAATCCTCCTACTCTCTTCATTCTGCACCAAAGAATATGCCATGGAGAGTGACAAAATATCAGCACTAAGGATGTGTTGCCTAGTGAAAYCATAATAGGCATTTAGTCTAGCAAGAAAATCAAAGACTCGGTTTTTCTCAATGCACTTCCTATATTGTCCAGCATCAATAGGATCCTTCCACTCCAAAGCTTCTAAATGGTTCATTTCTTCCCAAACTGATTGTAAGGAAGATAAATACATGGCCACCGATTTCTCCCCCTAACGCATATTACATGCTTCTCTCCGCAACTGATAGATTTTAGCCGTGTTCTTCGCTTGAGAATAAGTTGAACTTAACCTATCCCAGATGTCCTTAGTTGTTAGAAGGAACATATAGTTGCGGGCAATGTGAGGCTGCATAGAGCATACTAGCCATGACATAACCAGCAAATTATCCTGCTCCCATTTGGAATAATTTGGATCTTCAGGCTTCGGCTTAGCTTCCTTGCCGGTAATAAACCCAAGCTTACCTCTTCCTCCGATTGTGAGCTTAGCTGATTGAGACCATTCAAGAAAATTTGTTCCATCAAGTTTTACAGTAGTAATTTGCCCTCCAGCACTGTCATTACTTCCCGGGAGGACATAGGTAGGTACGTACACATCCTTGTGTGAATCCATTGATCACCACCCCTCTAAAAACACTTTTCTCGCCAACGCCACAATCTCCCAACACTAGTTGAACACCCAAACACCTTTTCTTGAAGGTTAAACACGAGCTACAACAATAAACAAAGGAAAAGAAGGTGTTGGCGGCAAAATAAGGGAAGAAAAAATTTCCCAAAAATAATTTTAGGGCTCCAAAAAATCTGAGACTGCTTCCTGTAATCTCAGAAAATCACCACACTTCAAACGCATGTGGCTTTAACAGCAACCAGCCCACCATGCGAGCATGCGAGCATGCAAACCCTAAACTCCAAATCTGTAATTTTTGCCAATTTCATCTAAAAAATCCAAGAAAAATGTAAAAGAGCTTCAAACCTCCATGATATGTATATCAAAATTCCTCTAAAAATGAGATGCATCAAGTCAAAACCGCAAATGAACACCGCCAACTGTACGGACTGCTGACACCAACCAGCGGCATGCTGACGCCAACAGGTTCGTCTGTTAGTCACGACCAGCGGCGGATGCTCTCCTTGATCTCCTGATGCTCTGATACCAAGTTAAAGTATTTGAGATTCGAGAATAAGAAGAGGAGGAGAAGAAGAAGAAGAGAGGAAGAACAGGAGTTTGTCGAAGAAAACTGATGTATTACTATTCACTCCTGAAGAGCCTTCTTAACATTTTTAAGAAAATTACAAATGGGCCCTTAAATAGGTAACCAAATACAAAAAAGGACAAAAGGACATAAATGCCCTTACATTCTCAACAATGTTATATTACCAAGTTATGAGTTTCATACATATAGGTGGCAGAATATTTTTTTAAAGTTGAAACAGAAATAAAAAGAAAAATGTAATGCTAAATTGAGCAGTATATTCATATGTCATTGAAGCAAACCAATTGTTTCTTCTTTTTCTCAGAAAACTTATATAGAAGCAGTTATAGGGATCAATGTAAAGCCAAGAAGAGGTTTGGAAATGAAAGGGATAATTATTGGAAGCTGAAACTTTGGGCAGGGAGAGTGGTTAGAAACCCAGCTCTTCATCACCCATGTGGATTGCACACCATTTCTCCCAATTGTTTCAAAAGATAGGTCATCAAGACATGATTTTAAACATATGATGAGTGACAAGTATTCTGAGGAGTGGGGACAGAAAAAAACAAAGAATGGAGGAATTAATGTAAAGTTGACATGAAGAATACATGTACCTGAATCCTGTTGAAAAAGGGAATGGTATAGGATAATACATATTTCCATTATCATAATGAGGAGGAGACTCAACATTCAGACTTTCTTGTATTGCTCTAGCAAGTTGTTCATCTTCCTCCAAATGAGATCCACTATCTGAAGAGAAACACAATAAAATAAAATTCTATAGTATATAATCCAGAACCCATTGAACTAAGAAATTATTAATGTAAACCATTGCGAAATGTGAAGTAGAACATAAAAATGCATGGTAACTTCAGAATAGAGTGCGAAAAATGCTTAGTTACGTCATTGGTCAACTCCTTGTTTTTCCACTGCTTTTACTTRGCAGATGTAGAGATARCCTCAATAATCAAAGAAAGGGAGCAGGAGATGGGGGAATGATGGGGAAGAAGAGAATCCCCAGATATCAAGCAGTTTCCAAGTCTGCACACAAGCCTGTACCTGGGTAGTTTTGTGCACTATAGTTGATGATACTGCAAAATCATACAGTTGGTTTTTTTGGACCCTGCCATATGCACTGTTTCAGTGAATCCAGCAGGATCAAGAACAAAGTAAGCATACACCCATTCAAATCCAATCAGTGGTTACACATGCACAGGTTATTGGGGGCTTAGTGCTCTTACTTTGTAGTATTGCTACAGAAAAAGATTTAAATGCTATAAATAAAATTAACATTAGTAAATGGAGATCAACACTTAACAGTTATTCTCTGGATCACAAAATATCATTGTATTTTTTTTATATATATTTAGTATGCTGGATCAGAAACCATGCTAAACCTGTGGCCTGTGCTGATGAATGTAAACCTACAATATCACTAATTACTAAAGACATCACTTCAGCATCACATTTCATCACCTTTTATATTTAATTCAATGTACTTATACATGCAGAATCATGGATTATAGGTTTGGGAGTTACAGCATCATACAATGTCAAGAGCATTAATATCACAACTAAGGCATACTACTCACCAATCACATTTTTCCCTTTCTGATCTTCTTCTGAAAGGGAAAGTGCAATAGCACAATCTATATCTTCATTCTCATAATCTGACCAGGCATCCTACATTAAAATTCTCCAAATTGACAAGGTTAGCAAAGTAATAAAATAATACAGAAAATGGCATCAAAGGAAAGGTAGGGGCAATAAAAGATAAAGGGAAACACATAAATTTCACAATATAATCAGGGCTATATGAGACCATGGCACCAAGGGGCAAGGGTATAATTTCTAACATAAGTCTATTTATGTCATATCCCTTCCTTGTCAACAAATGTAAAGAATTTCCAACTCTGACATTTTTTTTTTTTGAGAAGTGGTAAAGTAGAAACAGAAACAAAATTTGACAAGAAGTTGGTCTTATGAGTCAAGCAGAAACAGCAAAGAAGGATATCAATAAAATACATCAACTATGTTACCCAGATATAGCAAGGATGTAGCTGGACATGGTGTCAGATACTGAAATTACATTAAAAATTGAAGTATCTGACACAATATGGCACCCTTTTAGAGATACCCAGGAATAATAAAGCAGCAAAAGTAATTAGAAATGAATTAGAAAGTTCATTCCAAACCTTGTCATTTTCATATTTTCCATGGTATTGCCCTTCTGAGATTTTATGGTTGGAACCTTTGAAAATTTTGCTCAGCCAACCCATAATGCAAGATGTTATTGGCACATTTTCCAGAAAAAATTTGCCTGCATAGAAAACTCACTCATTAAGGAAGAGAAACATTAAAAAAAGCACAAGTAACCAGGATCATAGCTCCCCAGTCCCCAGACATCAAAGTTCCATTTGCTAAATCCTTTTGGCTTCAAAGTAATAAGAGAAAGGTAAGTGAATTCATTATATTCTTCATAATTGTCAAAATTCGAAGAGAGGAATGAACATGAGAGGAAAAGAAACTACGATTGACAATTAAAATTCTTACAGCACCAGAATAGTAAAGAAGAAAATTTTGAAGATTTCTTCTACTTATTAAAAGTTCTTGAATAAATTTTTTCCCAACTAAACCCCATTAAGGTGAAAAGAAAAAAAATATATACCAACAAAACCTATAATAGATGAGAAGCACCACAATTAAGTTACATGATTGAGAACGTTTACCATTCATACCACTTGAAAAAAAACAATTAATTTATCACAAAAAAAGGTTTTGACACAGTAAGGCTCAAAGTGAAAATTAATTATTTGTTGGACCCATCACATCCATGAACTGAAGTCCATGAAAACAAGAAACTTCACATAATTCAGTTCAACCTAATGAAATAAGAGGTAGCATGTGTATGAAACAGTATGTGCACCAACTCAGTAAAATATCTCCCTATGATTAAACTAGTCCGCTTTTGGAATGTATTACATGCAGAGCCTCCATTACAAAAAGAAACTACATACAACCCAATCCAAACAGATCATCCCTACAAATAATCAGATAAAAATAGCAAATAAAACACCCACCAGACATGTGAGTTCTGGAGATTTTTAACACCCTTGAACTCCAACTAGATGTGAGTCATAAAACTTCTTGGACAACAAGGGGAAAAACCAAGTGAAAACTTCCCGTCTTCGTATTGATACAAGAAAAACCCTCTGAAAAGCGAGATATTCTTCCAGCTCGACATCTCCAATAAATAAATGGATTGGGAAATAAATAATTCTCAATAAAAAAGGATGCATGATTCGAAACATGCAACCGCAACTCACCTGAAACAGAATCTGCACAAATGGTGGAAGGAGGGGAGACCCGGATCAAAAAATGGTCCCAATATGCTTGAAAGCATAGTCACCAGGGTCATTTACAATCACAAAGAGATTCCTTATCAAGTTATCATGCCATTCATTGTTCTTTTAATCCAGAGAAGAATCTATCAGAGCGAAGACGTTCAGAAAAAGAAAAAAAAAAGGGCGAATAAAAGAAATAAACAAAAAAATTCTTTTCTTGTTTACATTTATACATAGAGGAAGATTCCAGGAAGTAATATCGATTAAAGAAATGGAAGAGTACTTGATATCTACGCGACTCTTCTGGCTTATTTCCTTCTTCACTAATTTCCAATAGAAAATCAAAACAAATGGCGCCAAACCCATTAGAGCATTTTTCTTTTAATTTCTTCAGGCTATTTTGCACGTGGGTCCTATACCTTTCTCACCACAAAAGAACCCCAAAACCCTTCACTATAAAAGTGTAGAGACAGAAAGAGAGATCTCAAAACGCCATCTTTATGTTTTCTGCTCTTTTGCGCTTTTCTTCGTTTGCAGCATGGTTGATACGAATATCCATGAATAAAGGGAGCGACAAAAGAGAAAATCTCTCAAGTCTCAATAAAAGAAAAAGGGCTACCAGAAAAAAAAAAAAAAAGAAAAAGGAAAGTAGAAAGGAAAAACTTTAATCTCTCAAGAACCCAATAAGGAAATCAACCTTCCAACACGTAAAGGAAATAACAAAGTCAAAATAATCAAAGAAGTACTGTTCAGTAAGATTCCCCATAACATTCAAACAAATGAAAAGAAATCTCATCAAATTATGGTTTCTTCATACACCCTTAAATGTTGGCTTTTAGAAAAAAACTACCAAAATTATCTTAAAAGTTAAAAATTGCCATCAAGATTTGACATCTCTCACTCTGTTTTATCTCCCGGCAAAGAAATCTACTTTTATAATGAGTCGTGTAAAGTCAAGAATGGATTTTTCTTTGTTTTTTAAATTTTGAAAGCAAAAAATGGAGATTATGGAGTTACCCACTTCTGAAAAGAGGTGATCATCTGATTTTCCTTTTTTTGTTCTTTTTGCGTCATAGCATGCGTAACATATTCTCATCTCATGATTCGCGGTTGCCATTTGCTTGCTTGAAGTCAAATTAAAAAAGCTGAACTATATATCCTATTTGTCCGACAAAGATTGGAATTGTCAAAAATTTCTTCTTTTCTCTAAGCATAGAACAAGAGCTATCTATGGGCCGCCTGGTTCCATTCAAGTGATTGTAAGCATGTTTTTAATGGGTCCCTCGAAATATTGTTCAATTAAGCAAATCAAACCTATCACGATTGCATGATTTACGGTTCCGTTCTCCACTGGCATTTGGGTGAATAGTCTAGGGAAGTTCCTAACATGAATGATTGTGAATTTGTGATAATGTATCTAATCAGGCTTATTCATGGCAGTCGGCAGATGTTCCCGACGAGTCCCATTCAATGATAAGCGTCGGCTGTTGGTTGGCATTCTAGACAAATCCATTTACGACACTCTGGTGGTCTGAGAAACTCTCAAAGACCCAACGATTCCTAAAAACAGAAGTCGATCAATTGATTCAACCGTTAAAGTGAAAATCCTAAAAAGATGGAAAAAAACAAAATAGAAACAAACTAAGTTCTTTATTTATTTWTTTTTTTCTATTTACTTGCACTCTTTCTATTACAACATGATATAAACAAGGATAGATGATAAAAGAAAAGAAAAAAGCAGCTTACAACTCCTTAGCTTATTTGAAATTTTGTATAAAAGCTGTAAACAAGAACATATAGAAATAGAAGAAGAAAGAGTCCTAAATATTAATATTATTATTATTTCACATTATGGCCACTATTAGGAGACATCGAAATAAAATAGTGAGAGTTAGAAATGAGGCCGGAGCATGGCTGAGTGAAATCACTGACATTAGAAATCATTCGCCAAAACTTTTGAGCAAAGATTCAAATCTGAGGGTACTAGTGGAGTTAAGGAATTTATAATTGATTTAAATGAAACTTAGTAATGAGCAGAACTTCTTGTCAAAGAGGTTTGTAACACTAAAATCAAAGAAGTACTTGAGTCTATCAAGGATCTCAAGGCACCGGGCCCCGATGGGTTAAACGCTTTATTCTTCAAGAAATTCTAGCCCATAATTGGAGAGTCGGTTTCCAATGTAGTTAATCCTTTTTCCATAATGGGAAGCTTTGTGGGATTTTAAATCAAACTTTCATCACCTTGATCCCCAAAAAGAAAAACCCGGAATCTATAAATGATTATAGGCCAATTAGCTTTTGTAATGTCATTTATAAAATTATATCAAAAATCCTTGCAACTAGAATTAAAAAAATTTCTTGATAAAATCATCTCTCCTTATCAAAGTGCTTTTGTGCCCAATAGGCAAATAACAAACAGTATTCTTATTGCTCACGAAATGATTCATTCTATAAAGAAGAAAAATGGATCATTAAGACTCATGGCTTGCAAAATTGACATGGAGAAAGCCTATGATAAATTAGAATGGGTTTCATAGAAAAGATTCTCAGAAAATCTGGGTTCCATGAAAAATGGATATCATGGGTCATGGAATGCATAAGAACAATTTCTTATCAAAATTTAATTAATGGGAACCCAACAAATGAGTTCAAACTGAACAGAGGGATTAGACAAGGAGATCCTCTCTCCCCTTATATTTACGTTCTTTGTGTTGAAGTTCTTTCAAAGAAGTTAGAAAAAGAAAAAGTTGAAAATACATACCAAATTAGTTGCAGGCTTTCCAGAGGAGGGCCAAAGATTCCCATTTTGCAATTTGCAAATGATTGCATTATATTTGCAAAAACCACAATTCCTGTTTGCTTGAGAATTAAAGAAATCTTGATCAATTTCACTAAAGCCTCTAGCCAATGCCCAAATTTCTTGAAATCTTCAGTGCTATTTTCCAAAAATGTTCCTTTTCAAAAAAAAAAAACTTCTCTCTAAAATGCTTAGGATACCTTTGGATGCCAATCCAAAGAGTTATTTGGGTGCACCCTTAATTACAACAAGAGTAACTAAAAGTACTTTTGCCAGTATAAAGGAGAAAATGGCTCAAAGACTTGTAAACTGGAAAAATAACACATTATCCTTAGTAAGAAGGCTAACTTTGATTAACTCTACTACAAATATGATGCCAAATTTTATTATGAGATCATTTAGAATTCCAAGAAATACCATTGAGGATCTTAACAAAATTCAGAGGGATTTTTTGTGGTCAAACTCGAATGGGAGAAAACCCATACACCTTTTAAAATGGGTAAAGGCTTGTATACCCAAAAGTTTGCGGGGGTCTTGGTTTAAGGAACCATCTTTGGGTGAATGAGGCAAATCTTGCAAAGCTTGGATGGAAAATTTTAAGTGAGGAAGAAAACCTTTGGGTTAAGGTCACCAAGGATAAATACTTGAGGAGGGAAGATTTTTTGAATGTCAAGATTAGAAAGAATGTCTCTTGGGCATGGAGAGGCATTCTTCTTTCTCGAGATCTTATTAAAAAAGGATCGCGCTAGTTAGTTGGGATTGGAAAATCAATCAAATTCTGGCATGATAATTGGGTGTTAAGGAATCCTCTAACCGAAGAAATTAGTAATGAAAATAATGAGAACAATAATACATACGTCTCAGAAATGATCGATCATGAAAGAAAATGTTGGATTGAAGATAAAGTTAAGAGGATAATTCCTAACCAAATTTAGAAAAAAGTGAAACCGATCTTCATCTCTTCAAACTTGGACGATAAATTAATTTGGGGATGCAATCCTAAAGGTGAATTTACTATCAAATCGGCAATTCGGCATATTCTTTGAAATGTTCTTGCGTGGCTGAGCAAAATCATTAAAGAATTGGGTTACTAATGTCTAGAAAATGAATTGCCCTTCAAAAATAAAAACTTTTTTGTATCTACTTCTGTAGAAAAGACTTCCTACAAAAAATCATCTTAAGAAGAGAGGTTTTGATTTAATGCTTCTTGTTATTTCTATGGAGAAGTTGAGAACACTGACCATATCTTTAATCACTGCAATTTCTCTAAACAAACTTGGGCTACAATTAACCCCTCTATTGAGGGTCCCAACGAGAATGATCAATCTATTGAAGAGTGGTGGCTTCAAATTGGAAAAAACAAGGGGGATGGGAGTACTTATTTAAGAGAGAAACTAGTGTTTATCCTTTGAGAAATTTGGAGAAATAGGAATCAAGAAAAATTTAGAAGCCATAAAAGAATCCATTGGTAAATGTAATGTTAAGAACTGGAAGCCTGTAGTTTGGAAAACCCCAAACCTTAACTATATAAAGATAAATTTTGATGCATCCCATAATAGTGATGGRAATTGCTCAATTGCAAGCATTGCTCGAGACCACCTTGGAAAAGTCTTAAATCTTAAAGCGATTAAGTTGGGGGTTTCCACCATCAACCAGGCTGAAAGCCTGGGCGGCTTGGGAAGCCCACAATATGGCTTGGAACTTCAGACAATCTCCTATCATTATCAAAGATGACTCCAAGCTTGTTATTTCATGCCTAATCTAGAAAACTACCCATCTTTGAAGCATAACTAACATTATCAGAGAGTGCATTCAGATGAAGAATATGTTTGACAAAGGATTGAAGTATAGGCACATGTATCAGGAGGCTAATCAGGTTGCAGATTAGTTGGCTCATGAAGCACCGTCTTCTTCATTGACTTTTTTGTTTTTAATCCTTCTCCCCCCTCCTCTTTCTCTCATTTGTTTTGTTGATTTTTGGGGATGTGCTACCCCCCCCCTCCCCCCATCTTGTGCAGCCCTTCTGTTATCATAAAAAAAAGTTGAAAAAAAAAATTTGTGTAACCCCAACATTTCTTAGTGATATACATATCGATTAACACAAAAAAGCAAATGATAGCATGAATACTAAACCGATTTTGTTTTTTTGCGTAAAACTTTCAAGCGTTGCACAATGTTTTTAACCCATCGTTGAACCAATTGGTTGAACCGTTTGAACCATTACCTAGTCATGATCAGGGTCTAGTTCTAATAAAACCTGGAATTTGTTCAAAAATCGTTGACTAGGTCAAAAATCATTTTATATGGCCGACCGAATCATTGATCCATTCAACCTAGTAACTGGGTCACAAGCTGCACATTAAGTATGCATGCAAAATTCAAGAGGCCATAACATTGTGCTTTGATATCTAATTGGGGTGATACTTTTTTTTATTCTAAGTAACTTTTYGAGATCTATGTGTCCCAAGGTGTTGTATTGCACTATTTTCGTAGAAAACCTTTTTTGACCTCAAATCAGAATTTTTAATATTTTTAACAAATATACAAAAATTAAAAACTGCATTAAAATATAAGTTAAATAAAAATTATCCTTAAAGTTTAGTTATTATATCACATAATGACATGTGCAACTTAAAACTTTTTAAAATATCAAAATTATCCTTTGAAATAAGACATTATTCATCATCCTCTTCCTTGAGAATCAAGATTGAACCAAAGCAATGGTGAATAACTCAAAGGACATTTGAATTTGGGCATTTGGATGGTTGATAAAGAAAATTAGATGACACTCGAAAGACATTTGCATCTTTTCACATGCCACTTAATGGTGGTTAACGATTTTGGACTAAATTGAGACGTTTTGGTAGTTTACGTATTAGATTGGAACGTTTTAAAATTTGGGTACCAAACTGAGACTATGCCCAAAGTACATGGTACTAATCTACAATTTACCCTTTGCTTTAATTTAGATTGGTTCTAACCCAAACCCGGTCCATTGACACATGTATTTTTATCTTCTATCAATGAACTAGATATTGACTTAACCAATCCAATATAAAGTCATTAAAAATGGATCAGGTCCAATCCAATAAACACTTTGGACCATTAATTCTAGACTAGTCCAATTCAATATGTCTTGTGGGTTTGTCCAATCCATCCCAATTGATTTTGGTTTTGGATGGGGTCAAATCCA